AGCTTGATCCCGCCGTTGAGCGCAAACCCTTTACTGGTAATTACACAGCTTGACCTAATTTGATCCCGCCTTCGCTGTTTTGTGCCTCTTCCTCGATAGGGTAAAAAATGGTGGAAACTTAAATTTTTAATGCTAAATGGCTACGAGGATTCAATTGAAAGCTATTGCAGTGTTGCAATGGGGGCATGTGGCTATAAATTGTGTTGACAATTGAAACCTTAAATAGGAAATGGGAAAATTCAATTCATAGCATAAAAACAGGCTGCAAGCTTGCATTGCTGCAAAGTTTTAATCCTTTTATTTGTGTTGTTTTCTGTGAAAGTTGATGTATATTGCAACTGCTGAAAGCTGTAATATTGCTGCTCCATTGCTCTTTGTTAATCTGCTGCTACAAGCGAAAAAATCGGAGCTCTAAACTGCTGTCAAGTCGCTGTGTTTCCTGGCAGTTGTACGCTGAAAACTGATTCCAATTTCTCTGCCGGAAAAGTTTCTTTGGCTTATTAACTCTGAAAAAAATGTACTAATTATCATGATATATGGACTATGTTTATTTTAAATAGAAGTGTTAAGTATTTAGTTTACGTAGTAGTTTTCTAGTCTGCAAAATTTGGAAGTGATTTTGGCATTCTTGTTATAAGTTTGATCATGAATGAAATCAATTGACTAGTGGCTACACTGCCCCCTAATTTTCTTGCTCTTTCGGTTTTCACTCTTTCGTATCATTATGAGTCCCAAGATATATTCACCCTACGTAAGCTCGAAGTAATTTGTTACCACCGATTGCTAAGCCTTTTTCGTTAAAGAAAACTTGCAGCAATCGTGTTTTCCTTCTATGAAAACTTGCAGCAATCGTGTTTTCCTTCTTCTTCTTCTTCTTCTTTTTTTTTTTTTTTTTTTTTTTTTTTTTTTTTTTTTTTTTTTTTTTTTTTTTTTTTTAAGTTTGTACAAATTATATTTAGGGTCAGCGAATAAAAAAAAAGCTCAATTGTAATCTTAGCGACTTATTGGTACTCATTTCTTGCAGATGAAGAAGAACGCATCATACTTGAAGCTCACACCATCCACGGCAATAAGTGGGCGTCGATAGCAAAGCTGTTACCCGGGAGAACAGACAATGCCATAAAAAACCATTGGAACTCTTCATTGAGGCGTAGGGGAATGAACCCTAGGAAGCCCAAGTCAAAAATCACTAATCTTTCGGACGAAAAAAGCATCGAAAAATCAAAGGCATCGTCCGAAGAAACACCGTCTTGTGGAGATGCAAACTCTTTCAAATCCAGTGAAGGAAAGGACATCACCTCTTTCGAACGAGCAGACGTTAATAAAAATCATCAAGCGAAATCGACAGTTTTACGTCCGGTTGCTCGGGTCAGTGCCTTTACCGTTTATAATCAAATGGATACTAATGTAGCAGAAAATAATATAAGCCCATCTCCTAACATGGTTCCTTTAGAAACCCCATTTGTCCAAAACTTGAGCCCGGATATGAAAATTCGTAAATTGCTCGAAGGAAGCTACAATAATGACCTAATTGTCCCTTACCGATGTGGCCATGGCTGCTGTGAGAATTGGCCGGAGGCCAGTTCGTTGCTCGGGCCTGAATTTATTGACTACACAGAGCCGCCGTTTTTCACGAGCCATGAACTGGCTGCATTAGCAGCAGACATAAGCAATGTTGCCTGGTCTAAAAGTGGAATAGGAAGCAGCAGCATTAAAGCAATGAACAACAATGAGGCCTGTGGGTTTTCATGTGATGGTGGAAATCAGCAAACGGGACACTTGGAGGACAGTGGAGAGAATGATCACTCGTCCAGCTTTGAAATCGGGAAAAGTGAGCTAACGAGCAACTAACTAGCGTGGATATTGGAATAAAGTAGACTGCCAACATACATTTCTGTTTACTGACTCTCCACGCGGTGATCCAAAAAGGTGCGCAGGAAATTGAAAGGAAATGTGATAAATTTGTAAAATTTTTCCGGTTAACTTGAACCGTTTATATCAAACTTCAGTGATTGGCATTTATTTATGGTGCTTTTTTTTCTTGTATGACAAAGTTGCTTGTGGTGATAAGATTGTGCTACCTTTATGGCCGTTTTAATGGTCTGCTCAGAAATATTTGTTAGTGACCAGTGGTAGATTGTTAAATTGGTAGTAAAGTCGACTGAGTTGAAGATTCAATTATGTTACTTTGCTTCTCTTTTCGCTCGTTTAACTTTTATTTTTCTAGGGTTCTTGTTATGTAACATTAACTGATTGAATTATGTTGCTTCTTCTTTCTTTTTTCCCTTGCTAGATTATTTCAATGCTCAGTTAATCGAATATGTGTACAGGAAGATCATGACACAGGAAGATCATAATCGAATTATGCTGCATATCATGACACAGGAAGATCTTTTTCGACAATTTATATCTCGCTGTTATGTTCCTTTTTATTTATTTGCTCGAAAATTGAACTCCGGTCCTTGGCCTCAAAACTGTAAATGAGCCGAGCTCGAACTCTTGAAACTCGAGCTCGGCTCGTTTTACAATATTAACGTGCCATAATGAGCTAACCTAAGCTAAGAATTCAATTGATTAAGCAATAGCTCCTCTTCTCGAGCAGAGTTGAGATCGACTCGTTTGAGTCGAACTCGAGATTTAACGAACCGAGCCGAGCTTACGAGTGACTCAGTTGGTTTAACACCTCTTGACCAGTAAGCTGTTATGTCTTTGACTTTTAGCAACAGGATTACAGGAAGAGACACTCGATAATTATCACGGTCTTTGACTTTTTTGAGCCTCTCCAAATGCAGTAAAAAGTGAAGAACATAATAATTAGCAATCATTTGGCCATTTGGGCTCCACCATAGATGATTAAATTACAGTTTTATTGAACTGTCAATGTCCTTAGGCTGTGTTTGGCTGCTTGTGGTCAAATGTAGAAATAAAATATTGTGACAGATAATAATAATAATAATAATAATAATAATAATAATAATAATAATAATTATTATAATAATAATAATGCATACAGGATCATCATGTTCCCTTACTGCTGGGCTCTTCCTTACTTTCAGTTTTTGTGTCTACTGTTCACAAACAGACACCCCATGTGAAAGATAGCTATTTTGGTACCTTAGAACCCAATAAATAAATAAAAACGTCACAAAATTAGGGTTTTCATACATCAAAATGAACTATAAACTACGGGAGATGTTTCGGTCCCGTTACATAACCATTCTGTCGGGGTTTGTAACCGTTAGATCATTATGTAACTGTCGGGGATAGTTGATCTAACGGTTACAAACTCCGACAGAATAATTCCGTAACGCATTTCCCATAAACTATATATAATCATTGATACTATTTTTCCAAATAATCCTAAATGTTGGAAAACAGTCGTTAAAATTGTTAAAATCCAATTATAATTTTAATAGAAAACTCAGTTAACCAGACAATTTTTTTTATCTTCAATCCACGGAGTTTGGTCCACCTGGTCAATGCTCTATCAACTCAGGTCAATGATTTACTTTTTCCACACCACTTTTTTACTGATCCACGCCACAAAATGTTGTTAATAATTTATTAGGCAACACAATCACCAGCTTAATATTTAATTATATTCTTTTCTTGGCTGCATTAAGCTCACGAGCGTGATATTATTCACACACTGTATGTTTGGATAAACTCGTATATATATATAGTAAAGTAAAATTAAATAATATTTGTTTCACATTAACTTTTTATCTACAATGTCAATAATATAAATAATAAAAATAAAATTATTATATTTTTTTAACAAAAAACATTATTTATTTACTCAAATATTTATTATTATTACAAATCTGATCAGTCAACATATATAATTTACATATTAAGTTAACTTTTTAACTTTTAACATTTTTATTTTGATTTCATTCGCAATGTTATATTTTAATTTTTAGGCACAAAAAAAAGGGCAAAAATTCCAGTTTAAACATGTTTTGTATTGAAAATTTATACAAGTCAAATTTTACACACAATATTATTTATTCTGCTGAATGAGATTCCATCCCAGCACAACATAATTAAGTACATGACAATGAACTTGCCTTGTAAAGAAAAGTAAAGGTGACAAAGGCGTGAAGCATATTAAAAGGCGCTTATGATGAATAATTAGTCATAATTTTAGGCTAATCAAAATTCGAGCACTCAAAGAAAAAGGCAAAGATTGAGACTTAATCTTTATGTGTCAAATTTAATGCTACTCCTTTGATAGATAAGTTAATATTACCTCCTATTCTTTTTAAATGTCATTTTGACATTATCAACTATTAACAAAATAAATGTCGTTTTGGATATTTTGTACATATTTTTTCATTATTACCCTCATTTAGTTAATAAATACACTACTTCTTTTCATATTCACTCTTCATCTTTTTTCATACTACATTTATCTCTATCCTCATTAATGAGGGTTATTATTGGCAAAAAAAATATTCTTAATAACTGTGCAATTTCTCAAAACGACACTTATTTTGAATAGGAGGGAGTATTGTTTTGTACGATTTTGTTATGAAGTCAACAGTTTTATTAGTGTTATTTAAGTAATCAGCGAATATAGTAGGTTTTTAATTGTTGTATATAGAAAGTTGATTCCGCTATGGAGCCAACTGTTGACTTAATAGCAAAACCGTTGATTTGTAATGCTTTTACTTGCAATGTAATTAGGTTCGTAACAAACATTTAGTTTCATTGAGTACTTAAATTTTGCGGCTACCTCTAAAAATTCATATATCACGTTTTGGAAATAAATTTCTTCATAAATTTGCATTCATTATCTCTAGAGCTGTTGAACGAACCGATGCTTGCGAATAGCTAATCGAGCTCGTCTATTTAAACGAGCCGTTGAGCTATTGTTTGAGAACAAATTGTCTTTATATTCTTGAGTTTCATGTTTTCGAACAACTCGCTTAAAATTTTAGGTTTAGTAAGTGAGTCAGAGCCGAATTTCTTTGAAGACCACTTGTCCTTTTTTTATATAGATTTTGAATGTAACAGAAGAGCCGGACGTTTTTGTGAACGAACATTTCATATTCGCGAACAGCTCGTTTAAAAGTCGAGCGGAGCTTTCACGTTATTAAAAGGATCGAGCTCGAGTTCGACTAACTTTAATCTTCTATCTTTTTTTTTTTTAATTTTCCCTTTAAAAAAATTATTTTTCTTTTGTTCCATATCTTTTTTTTTTTTTATTTTATTTTATTTTACTATTACTTTTATAGTTCCATATGTCATCATCATGTAAATATGAAGTCTAGTGTATGCATTTCCAGAACAAACCTCAACCAAAATAATTTCACCATTTCTTTTGTTCTCTTCTCCACATTTCTCTTGTTCTTTTCCTTATCACACTCGTAACTGAAAACTCTCCCCGCATTTATCCTTTATTCTTATTTTTCTGTGTGCGAAAGTTAACCAATAGTCACTTTCAGTTGCAGAACAGCTATGGGGGAAGCCGAAGAGACCTTTTAATACAATTGTACCGCAAATCCCACATTGTACTCGTTTCATAAAATCAGACAAAATACTGAGCTTTGAAAAATGTTGAAACTGAACATGGGATCTGTCAAGATTCGTCTTTGCAGCCCTTAATGCTCATTTTTTTTTTTTTGTTTTCTCACTCGAAACAGCCTTTTCGTTCTCAAAAATTCATTCACACCAAAAGGGTTCTTTTTAAAGATTCAATCTTGAAAGCCCTTTCTCGACAATTTTTCTGCTTCTGGGCCTCCATAAAAATGTCTACTTTAGAAATAACCCACATTGATTTGGAAATCGGCCGCCGGAGCTCCGTCGTCGCCGCCGCCGCTGAGGAGGAGGAGGAGGAGGTGGAAAGCGTTTGCTTTTCAGACGGGTCGTCCAATTCCCAATTTTACTCCACCATTGACGGCGATGGCTCGTACGATGATTGCAGCTTTGTTTGTGGGTCTGAGATTTTGGAGGCTGGGGCTGTGGTGTCTCGAAAGGCCTCGTCTGTGGCCGACACGTGTGAATCTGTGGATTTAGAGTATGGTGAGAAGAAAGAAAACATGGAGGATTTAGAGAGAGATTGCAGGATTTGCCATTTGAGCCTCATTAGCAGCAGCCCAGGTTCTGGGGTGCCTATTGAGTTGGGCTGCTCTTGTAAGGACGATTTAGCTGCTGCCCACAAGCATTGTGCTGAGGCTTGGTTCAAAATCAAAGGAAATAAGTAAGTACTCTGAAAAAAAAGGCATAGAATGAGAGAGTAAAAGACTAGTAAAAATCTTGAATTTATTGTGTTTATGCATACTTAGTCTCTTTTGTATCTGTGTATGGGGCTCTGTTCTTTTTGAACTGTTAGTATGGTTTGTTGAGATGTTTTATGTTTATATGACTAAATTTTGATTTTCAAGATCTCATTTTGATGTTTGCATACATTTTTAACCTGTGGTGGGTGAAATTTTTTCGATTTGTGGTCACTGTGCAAACTCATATATTGTTGAAGCATGAAGGTGTGTATTGCAGTATTGCTTCTGTTTAGTTTGTCTCTCTCACTTGGCTATTCCTAATTTGGTTGAAAAGGAAGATTGAAAACTACATACAGTGTTTAGTGCACATGTTTTGAGCTGTTAAGAACAATGGAATTAGTCGAAATGGACAAAAGTAAAGCAAAAGTGTAAAGCAACAAAGATAATAGCTTTGTATGTGTAATTACATCACCGATTGCTTTCTGCTATGCCTTCGTAATTAAGTTTTCGCTGCTTATTCGCCCTTGGGAATCATTTTGTTATTTAACAAAAGCTGTGATTTTAACTCCGATTAGGCACATGATGTGTTTTCCCGATTATGTTTTTGCCGATTATATTCTATGGATTATGGCTATATACAAAAGATACGTTTTATGGTTATAGTAAGTGCAAACCCATCTTTGAGATGCTTCATGCTGGACATTTTCTTTCTTGAACTACAACTTGTAATTTTTTAACTCAATGGCAAAATGCACCAATATTTGGATACAAGAAATGATTATCTATCTAACCTTATTCAGGTTTTAGCCAAATAATTGCAGTATCACATAAAAGATAGAATTATCCCCAGTTTGCATGTATCGATTTGTTACAAATGAGCCTTCAAACACTATAAATCGGACTTATGTTACTCAAACTTCTCTTGGGTAGCATATATAGTTTGCTGTCCGCAAATAAAGCTTTGAAAGTGTGTTTTCTTATAGAGGAAAAGACTGAGTTCACGGTTTGAATTTTAACTTCAATGTCACATGAAAATGTTTTGTTATTAAAATGTTCCCTTCATTTTTTTCTTTTTGCAGGACGTGCGAAATTTGCAACTCGATCGCGCGTAATGTCGTGGGCCCCACCGACACGGAGACTTTGCAGCAGCAATCGGGAGAGAGAATTATTGCAGTCGTGTCCGACAATAATACGCTCGTGGGCCCCACAATGCTAACAGCCCAAAACCGAACGTGCTTAAATGGCCACCGGTTTCTAAATTTCCTTTTGGCGTGCATGGTGTTTGCCTTCGTCATATCATGGCTTTTCCACTTCAACATCCCCTCATAAAAACTAAAAAGATTCATAAGCTGATATAAGCTTCTGTTTTTTTTTTTTTACTTGAATTTGCAGTATGCAATATGTGTTTAATCTTTATACTAGTTACACTTTTCTAATTAATTAAGCAAAAATGTTGCTGTTATAAATGAATTTGATGTTGGCACTGCTGCTACACTGAGATGTGGGATTTTGCAGTTATTCTTGATGGTTCTTGGGTGGAAAATTTTTTTTGGCACCTATAAGTATTGTAAGTTTGTATATATTTGCTGAGAAATGTTCACCTACCCACGGTGAGCGGTGTGCATATTAACATGTGCCCACCGTGGGTAGGGGACCATTTTTATATATTTGCTTGCTTTGAAAACAGGTGACACAAATTGTGTTTGATAAGCACTAAGGATAGGTTATAGCTTATTTGGTTAGTTTATAAGTTTTATGTATACAAATAAATAAGCTTAGTTTGGTAAGACAAGTTTTTTTTTTTAAAAAAAAAAAAAAACTTGAGTTTATCTATGTGTAGGTTTCTAAATAAGCCCATTGAAATTTTTATTTCAACATGTTTATCAATTTATTTTACCAAACACCTTTATTATATAAGTTAGTTTTTTAGAAATAAGCTATCAATCATAAGCTCGAAATTCACTTTGGTATGTTTGGTAAGCACGATAAGCTAACTTATTGCTTATTTGATTAGTTTACAAGTTTTTTTTCTATACATAAATAAATTTGGCTTGGTATGATAGTTTTGTCTAAAAAGAGTTCGAACTTATCTCATAAATTTATTTAGTTAATATTTCAAATAAGCATGTTAATTTTTTTTATTCCAATTGACTTATCAGCTAATGTTACCAAACAATCTTATCATATAAGGTAGTTTTCAGCTATAAGTTATCAGCTATACTCTCACAATTTATTTGTAAACTATAGCCTAACTTATAGTCAACAACTAACTTATTAACTAGTTTTACTGAACAATCTTATAAGCTATCATATAATTAGTTTTGGCAAATATGGTCATAGGAAACAAAACTTCAAGTGCTACCTAAATGATTCTCGAGTGGGTGGTGCTAAAGTAATCTTGTTCTAATTTAAGCTAGTGGTCACCCTGGACATACAATCGAGTCGAATTTCGTCTATAATTAAGAAAAAAAAAATTGTAGTATTTAGTAACTGCACAATCCGACCCAATTTAATTCATAATTAAGTGTACAATTTGAGTTTATAATAACAAATCGAGCTCGGCGCAACTTGATAAGACTCAAAAAAATATATTTTTATACAATTTTGTATAGTTCAACTAGTTAAAGCTCGATTTTGACTCGGCAATACTCGAGTCGAGCTTGTTAATATTGATTAACTATCCGAGTTCCAACTCTATTGTGAGTTTGTTAAGTTAACGAGCCGAGCCGAGGCGGATCGAACCGAGCTCTCCTCATTTACAAATTACAACCCTAAGCATGTATTATATCAAACTTTAATAGGAACTATTATTGTAGATTTAGCATTATTGATTAATTGGTGTGCAAGTGTAATTGTCAATCTCATGCGGTGCATGTTACTATGGTGTCATTGTTCGCACCCGATTATTACTCCATAACCCCGTTTGGTTTGTTCATCCGAACTAGGGTTTAGCCTTTTCTACTATACACTCGTCCACCATTTTCTTCACCACAAAATTGTCTAAAAGCTGCAAGCTCTACATCTCGAGGGATTTGTGTTTCATTATCTTTAGCTCAAATTGAAGATCTAATGGCTAAACCCAATGCGCCCTCGCCTTTCGAGAAAGAACAGGTATTTTCATAACACCTTACACTCGCTTCCAGATAACAAAATTGGATTCTGCAGTTTTATGCAATGGTGATTTCTGATTTTGGGGGGATTTTACGGTTTTGTTTGTTCATTGTGTGTTTGCAGCTTTTAGGGATGATGGAGAAGGAGATGGAGTATAGGGTTGATATGTTTAACAAGTAAGGCGCTCTATGTGTTTGTGAAAATGCTCCTTACGCAATAATAAATTTTTTTTTTTAAAAAAAAAACGCCTTTTGTATTGATGGCATGTGACCGCGCGTCGCAACGCCTCAAATTAATATTTATATTTTTTCCTTAACTTACTTCTACCAACTAGGAGTAGTAGCGAGCAAGGGTCGATCCCACGAGGAGTGTGAACCAAATTGTGATATTCTTGTATTAATTGAATTTATTATTAAAGCAATAAAAGGGGAGATTTTGAATTAATAACTAATCTATCTAAGAATGAAATCAAAACAATAAAAAAATAAAAATAAAATAAAATAAATAAGAGAAATTTTCTAGTTCACGGTTTCGTCTACACCCTCGACTGACTCGTCTAATCAACTTTGGTATCAAATCTCGCTATCTTATGAAATTACTAGCCCTAGGCAACGACACGGTCTGTTAC